GTTCCTCCCACGGGAGGTGGCTTCGCTGAGCTCCATGAACGTCCCGGGACGGGGGACCCGGACAGGAGCCCCAGGTCACAGGGCCGGGACCCCGCCGTCCGGGGCCGCTCGCTAGGCTGCGCCGGGGTCTCCAAGGACTCAGAGGACGGAGCTAAGGGGACCGTCGAGCTCGGACGGGTCTCCTACCCACTGACACCGCCGGACTTGTGTTCCGCTTGCGCCGCCGCGGAGGCCGCCCGGGTTACGACCCGGAAGCAGTCGTTCGGGCCCGGACTGCCAGCTACAGAAGCCCAGCGAGGCCAAACGGCTCAACTTCTTGTGGGAGCGGAAGTTCCGCGAGATTTCCTGTGGGGCGGAGCGGGGCGCGTCTCGCGGATGGGCCGGGGCTGACGTCGAGGGCACGGGGTACGCGTGACCCCAGCGGGTCTGAGCCGAGAAGGGCGAGGCGCGTTTGGAAGCCCATTTCACGCATTCCCTGCAGGCCTAGAAAGGAGAGCCTGATCCAGCCGGTTTACCCAAGGGCAGCAGCAGAGCCAGAACTACCACCCGCTTTTCCTAGTTCCAGGAGCGCAGTGGCTGCTTTGCGCCAGCCCCCAGGGGCCCACCGGGTCCGAGGAGCCGCACGTGGGAAGCTACCGGGCGGGTCTGTCCAAGTGCCCACTTCGCAGATGGAGAAGCGAAGGCGCGTGTGTTGCGGGGACGCCCAGACGCTCCCCGCAGCCCCAGGAGCTCCGGTGCGCCCGCGTGTGGGGAGCCGGGTCCCGCGCGTGCGCCCAGCCGGGCCGCCGTGACTGCGCAGGAGAAAGGGCGAGACGGAGAGCTGGGGCGGAGGACTCCCCGCCGGGCTGACGACGGCTGAAGCGGCCAGGTGGGGAGGGGACGCCAGCTGCGCAGGGAGGCCGTCAGAGAAGATTTCGGCTGAGTTTTCCAGGGAGATCGGAAGGAGGAGGGAACCCAGGCTCCGAGAGCCCAGTGACGTGCTGGGGTTTATTTTCCAGAGCTAAATGAATGCTCACTCTCACAATTTAAGGAGGGTCTCCAAAACGTGTATCCCCCCGCCCCACAAAACCGGGGTCGGCCTTCCAAGTCACGGATGAAGCGTTGTGGAACCTCCAGGGTTCTCACAAGAGACCTCAAAAGTTGGATTTTTTTTTTTTTTTGGTACAGACGAAGTCTCACCAAGTTGCCCAGTCTGGTCTCAAACCCGCGAGCTTCAGGCAGTTCAATTGTTCGTCCTCCCAAAGTGCTGGGATGACAGGCTGAGCCACCGAGCCCGGCCAAGTTGCATTTTTAAAGAGGGACTGAACCGGGCGCGGTGGCTCACCCCTGTCATCCCAGCACTTTGGGATGCGGAGGTGAGAGGATTGCCTGAGCCCACGAGATTGAGACCAGCCTGGAAAACTTGGTGAGACCGCGTCTGTCCAATAAATAAAAAAATTAGTTGGGCGTGTTGGCGGGCACCTGTAGTTCAGCTACTTAGAAGGCTGATGTGAAAAGGATTGCCAGAGCCCACCAGAAGGTCGAGGCTGCGGTAGCCGTGAGCGCGCCACAGCCCTCAAGTCTGGATCACAGAGACTCCAACTCAAAAAAAAAAAAAAAAAATCGGGCCTGACACAGTGGCTCATGCCTGTAATCCCAGCACTTTGGGAGGCCGAGGTGAGAGGGTTGCTTGAGCCCAGGAGTTCAAGACCAGCCTGGGCAACTTGGCAAGACCTTGTCTCTTTGATAAATCAAAAAATTAGCTGAAGCCGTGCTCGGTGGCTCAGCCTGTAATCCCGCGCTTTGGGAGGCTGAGGTGAGAGGATTGCCTGAGCCCGTGGGTTTGAGACCCGCCTGGGCAACTTGGCGAGACCTCATCTCTATAATAAAAATCAAAAATTAGTTGGGCGTGGAAGCACACGCCTGTGGTTCCAGCTATTTGAAAGGCTGAGGTGGAAGGATCGCTGGAGCCCAGCAGGTCGTGGCTGCGGCCACTGCACTCCAGTCTGGGCAACAGTGAGACTCCAACTCAAAAAAAATTAGCTGGGTGTGGTGGCACGAGCCTGTAATTCCAGCTACTTGGAAGGCTGAGGCGGAAGGATCGCCAGACCAGGTCGCCCAGGTCGCCGCTAGGTTGACCACGAGCGTGCCGCCACTGCACTCCAGTCTGGGCAACAGACTGAGACTCCAACTCAAGAAAAAAAAAAAAAGAGGTGATTAGGTCTGCCCTTATGAATGGATTTGTACCACTGTCCTGGGAGCGGTCTCCTGATAAAAGAATGAAGTTTGGGCCCATTTCCTTTCTCCTTTGCTTCTGCCTCTGCCCTTGTGCTGCGGGACAGCCCTCCTCGAATGCCTGCCACACTCTGCTTCTGGACTGTCCAACCCCCAAACCGTGAGCCAAATAAGCTTCCGTTCTTTATACAGTTACCCAGTCTGTGGGATTCCGTTAAAGCATCTGAAAACACCAAAGAACTGAAGGTGAAGCCACAGAAGTTGTTTTGAACAAAGACATGGTCAGGCTTTCTTTTTTTTTTTTTTTTTGAATTGGAGTCTTACTCTGTCACCCAGACTAGAATGCAAGTGGTATGCTCACTGCCACTGCAGCCTTGACTTGTTGGGCTCAGGCAATCCTTCCACCTCAGGCTTCCAAGTAACTGGAACTACAGGCGCACACCACCACGCCCAACTAATTTTTTGATTTATTGTGGAGACAAGGTCTCGGCATGTTCCCCAGGCTGGTCTCAAACCCATGGGCTCAGGCAGTCGTCTCACTTCAGCCTCCCAAAGTGCTGGGATTACAGGCATGAGCCACTGTGCCCAGTCAAGTTTCCTATACTAAAATGGAGAGTCCTGGGGAGGAGCCAGTAGCAGGCCTGGACATCAGGAGGTGGGTTTGGACGCTTTTTTTTTTTTTGACTCAGAGCCTCACTTTATCGCCCAGGCTTGAGTGCAGTGGCATGTTCACAGCCACTGTAGCCTCGACCTGCTGGGCTCAGGTGATCTTTCTGCCTCAGCCTTCCAAGTAGTTGAACTACAGGTGTGAGCCAACAGGCCCAGCTACTTTTTTGATTTATAGTAGAGACATGGTTTCACCGAGTTGCCCAGGCTGGTCTTGAACTCTTGGGCTCAGGCAGTCCTCTCACATAGGCCTTCCAAAATGCTGAGATTATAGGCTTGACCCACTGTGCCTGGCTGGACATATTTATCAGGCGTCTAGTGGGGAGGATGAGGAGGCAGCCAGAGACACAAGCCCCGAGTTTTGGGAGACAACAGAGTGAAGATGCATGAGGTTTTTGGATGGCGGAATTTGAAGTCACGGGACTGCATGAGATGATTAGGAATGCATGGAAGGGAGGCCACACTTTGCTTCTCATCACTCTACCCCCATGTACGTACATACACACACACACACACACACACACACACACACACACACGGTTGCAAGGGTGTGGACCTCATGCCTGAGAAGCCCTCCCGGCTGCTATAGGGAGGCAGGCCCGCCTGGGCCGGGCAGGGAAACCCGCAGGTGGGTGGGGTAAGGCCCCTTCCCTCCTCCAGGAGCAGAAGCAGCAGGCGGTCCAATGCCCCAGACACCCTGATCTGGAAGGGACAGGACAGGGTGCAGGGCCTCCTCCCAGTGTCCACACAAAGCCCCAAGAGCCCAGGAGCCTTCACTCCCCCTATTTCCCAGGCTTTCTGCAGCCAGGTCCTAACCACTCCAAGGAGCCATTCACCACTACTCCCAGTATGACCTCAGGCCTAATCCCTACCTCAGCACCATTCCCTCCCGGGTATCCTGCCTCTTGCCTCATCCTAACCTGGCCTGTCTCTGTTCTCTCCACCTCCCCCACCAGGCCTCCACAAAAGTCAAGCAGTCAGCTCCTCAGCCCTGCAGGCCGTATCAATGGCTCCTGCCACCCTGGGCCCCTCCCTGAGTTCAGGAAGGACAGACAGTGGAGGCTGGGCAACCAGGCAGTCCCAGCATGACCTCCTGGGAAGGGGCTGTGGACTCTCCTGTCAACTCAGGGCAGGGAGCGAGGAGGAGGGGGCGAGTGGGGCTGTCTCCCTTTGATTAATTCAGCCCCGTGGCTTTACATGTCTGGTCTGCGAGGGGATATCACAGCAGTAATGTTGAGTAGTGATGACAGTAGTCCATTGGGACATCTACACCTACACTTTCAGGCATCATCTCACTAATCCTTCTGAAAGCCCTTGAGCCAGGTGATATAGCCATCTTACAGATAAGAAAAGAGACTTGGCTGGGTGTGGTGGCTTATGCCTGTAATCCTAGCACTTTGGGAGATGGAGGTGAGCGGATTGCCTGAGTCCACAGGTTCAAGACCAGCCTAGGCAAGTTGGGGAGACCTCGTGGCTACAATAAATCAAGAAAAATTAGCTGGGCCTGGGGCACAGGCCTGTAGTTCCAGCTACTTGGAAGGCTGAGATGGAAGGATCTCCTGAGCCCGACAGGTATAGGCTGCAGTGGTCATGAGGTGCCACTGCACTCCAGCCTCGGAGACAGAGTGAGACTCCGACTCAAAAAAAGAAAAACGCTCAGGGTAAAGCCATTGCCTGAGGTCCCATGACTAATGGGGGCTAGAGTCACAACCCGATTCTCCCCCAACCCCAGCCCCATCTAACTCCTACTGCACAGACGATCCCTGGTGTCCAAAGACCGTCCAGCTCAGCCGTGGGCTTGAGGCGGGCTTCTTCCCTTTCTGGACCTCGGTTTCCGCATGCAAGTAACGGTTCCGCCATCCGCCCAGACCACCCACCCGCTGCGCCCCAGCCATCCCCGGAGGCCAAGGAGCGCACGCGGGAGGCTGCTGGGGAGGGAGCCTTTATTGCGGGGCGGCCGGAGCGGTGCCGAGCTCAGGCTGGACAGGCTCGTCGGGGAACATGGCGCGGTGCATGGCGGCCACGTAGCTGCAGCCGCTGGGGTCCTCCAGGCGCAGCCGCGCCAGGGGCAGGAAGCGCTCGCTGCTGAAGTAGCGCAGGGCGGGCCGCGGGGCGCGCAGCGCCGTCACGAAGACCTGCGGGGCGAGA